AGGGGTGCGGAACCGTTTTCCTGCCAAGGGCCATTTTGATATTTATAACATAATTCGTGGGCCATACAAAAGTATCAACTTAAAAATTAACATTTAATTAACTCACCCCTAATGTGATGGCTGGAACTGCTTCTCTTTGGTGAGGCGTGTGGTGTTAGCTGGTATTGATGATGTTGCTACTCGCAACTGCTTTTCCAGGTTTGCTCTTAGATTTATTGAATTTCGAGTCCCGCCTGCGGTTGCCTTGGCAGGGCCAGACCAAATGATTTTGCGGGCCTTATACGGCCCACGGACTGGACGTTCCCCACCCCTGGCTCTAAAAGCATGCTTCTAACCGTGGAGGGAAAACACGGACGACCCGGAGAAAATGCACCTGACAATGGGGAAAGATACACGTACACTCCAAATATACAGCAGGCGTCAGGAACGGGATCGAACCAACGACCTCCTGTATACCAGGCGATGTACTTAACATCTCGCCACTGCAGCGCCCCATATGAATTGAATATGAATGGAAGTTTAGCAAAACATTTCCGTGAGTGATAACTGGCCAAAAACGGATCAAGCGGTTGCGTCAAAAACTTGAGGATTAATAAGAAACACTGCTAAAAGAGAATTAACCTTAGGTGGCATGGGCAAGTGTGTGTCATTACGTTGTGTGACGTCTCCTATGTCACATGTCACGGGGTGAATCTCGCCTGATGATTACATTCTCATGTGTACTGTGTCATCATCTACAACAGGCTTTGCATGACGTGTGCCATACGACTTGGAACGCATCGCTATTATTGCCCAGACAAAAATCGAGGGCAAACGCAGATTGGGGAAAGCATTTAAAGAGTCCACGCCTATGGATGATGTGTTCTTCCTTGTTTACACGAGCAATTCAATCGGCGTATTGTGACCAATACATTTCCAACAAAAAAACGTGAACGACCTCCTGGCGAAAGGTTGTAATAGTAGTTTGCAACATGCTAAAAATCGGCGTGAATTCATTTCGCATGGTGCAGCCAAATCAGTTGCAATAAACCAGAGCATTGTTCCTCTAGTTAAAGGTGTGTGCTGCTAAGAACGGAAGCGACCAAGTTGCATAGCTTAACGCGGGATAACTTAACGTATTAGGTCTGCACAGCCAATATTATTCATAACCGATTTAATGGGTTCAGGCCTGGTAATGATCTGGCCACCCGCCAGGCAAAGTCAAACAAAATTTAATTCTCACGCACACAACAGAATGTAGTAAATCTATACCAGAAATACTTCTTCAACTTGCGAACTGAAACAATAAATAACCGTAGTGGTGTTAACAACACAAAGGTCCCCCGTGTAGCCTTAACAGACTGTAGGGGCAAGTGCTGTTAGCGAGCACCTATGAAGACCGGCACGACACAACGAGGGGGGCGGGCCAACACCACGCCCGGCCGCCTTTGTCTCCCCGAGTGGCGACGTTTACACACCGCACCGGGCGCGCATTTGAGGCTGAGCCGACCTAGGGGAGGCCCGGGACCGGTTCAGATAATCGTCACCCGCGTTGGGGCCGTGAGCGGGAGTCGAACTCGGCTCCGCCGGGTTCGTGGCGCAGCGTGGCGCTGACCGCTGCACCACCGCTCCCCGGTGTTAAACCGCGCGTGCGGACACACACACACGCGCCTTTAAATTGTTTGGCTATGACGGTGGTGGTGGTGGTGTTGGTGGGGTGGGTGGTGGTGGTGGGGTGGGTGGTGGTGGTGGGGGTTGGTGGTGTGGGTGGTGGTGGGGGGGGGTTGGTGGTGGTGGTGGGGGTTGGTGGTGTGGGTGGTGGTGGTGGGGGTTGGTGGTGTGGGTGGTGGTGGTGGGGGTTGGTGGTGTGGGTGGTGGTGGTGGGGGTTGGTGGTGGTGTGGGTGGTGGTGGTGGGTGGTGGTGGGGGGGGTTGGTGGGGGTGGTGGTTGGTGGTGGTGGTGGTGGGGGTTGGTGGTGTGGGTGGTGGTGGTGGGGGTTGGTGGTGGTGGTGGTGGGGGTTGGTGGGGAGGATGGTGGGTGGTGGTGGGTGGTGGTGGGTGGTGGTGGTGGGGTGGTGGGGTGGTGGTGGTGGGGTTGTGGTGGTGGGGTTGTGGTGGTGGGGTGGTGGTGGTGGTGGGGTGGGTTGGTGGTGGTGGTGGGGTGGGTTGGTGGTGGTGGTGGGGTGGGTTGGTGGTGGTGGGGGTGGTGGGTGGGTTGGTGGTGGTGGGAGTGGTGGGTGGGTGGTGGTGGGGTTGTGGTGGTGGGGTTGTGGTGGTGGTGATGGGGTGGGTGGTGGTTGTGGTGGGGTGGGTGGTGGTTGTGGTGGGGGTTGGTGGTGGTGGGGTGGGTGGTGGTGGGGTGGGTGGTGGTGGTGGGGTGGGTGGTGGTGGGGTGGGTGGTGGTGGTGGGGGTTGGTGGTGGTGGTGGTGGGGTGGGTGGTGGTGGTGGTGGGTGGTGGTGGTGGTGGTGGGGGTTGGTGGTGGTGGTGGGGTGGGTGGTGGTGGTTTGGGTGGTGGGGGTTGGTGGTGGTGGTGGGGTGGGTGGTGGTGGGTGGTGGTGGTGGTTGGTGGTGTGGGTGGTGGTGGTGGGGGTTGGTGGTGGGGGTGGGTGGTGGTGGTGGGTGGTGGGTGGTGGTGGTGGGGGTGGGTGGTGGTGGGGTGGTGGTGGGGGTGGGTGGTGGTGTGGGTGGTGGTGAGGGGGTTGGTGGTGTGGGTGGTGGTGGGGGTGGGGGTGGTGGTGGGGTGGGTGGTGGGTGGTGGTGGTGGTGGGGGTGGTGGGTGGTGGTGGTGGTGGGGTGGGTGGTGGTGGTGGGGTGGGTGGTGGTGGTGGGTGGTGGGTGGTGGTGGGTGGTGATGGGTGGTGGTGTGGGTGGTGGTGAGGGGGGTTGGTGGTGTGGGTGGTGGTGGGGTGGTGGGGTGGGGGGTGGTGGGTGGTGGGTGGTGGTGGTGGTGGGGGGGTGGGGGGGTGGGGGGGTGAGGGGGTGAGGGGGTGGTGGGTGGGGTGGGTGGGTGGTGTTAGATCGAAAGTGGAGAGGAATTTTGGCCAGATAATTGCGTGGGCCTAACCCTGAAAAATCTGCGGTGGATTCTAGACACGGCAGAGTTGCCACGGCACTTTGAAAAGTGCCTGTAAGTTTAACTGTAATCGCGTTAATAATCTAGATTTGAAGTTTTCGTGACTGCAGGGATCCATACTCTAGGTATAAAATAGCGTTGCTTTTTGCGAGTTTACCAAACTTGCACCGATTCCAATATCTTACAACTATTTGTTATATTTAACCAGGTACGGCCCCACTAAGTTATATATAACTATTCTTTTCACAAGCTATCTGGCCACGGGTCACTTATAGCAAAACGCGTGATGTTGATTCTAAACGTGGAGAAAAATCCACGCGACCACGAAGAGAAAGAGACAGACACGCAAACTCCAAAATATACAGCAGCAGGCATCGTCAGGGTAGGGATCGAACCCACGACCTCCTGTATACCGGGCGAAGTAGTTAACATCTCATAAATACCGTGATGATGATGATGAGAGAGACACGCAAACTCCAAATCTCCAGCAGCAGGCGTCAGGGTAGAGATAAAACCCACGACCTCCTGTAGACCAGGCGAGGTACTTAACATCTCCTAGCCACCGTGATGATGATGATGAGAGAGAGACACGCAAACTTCCAATATACAACAGCAGGCATCAGGGTAGAGATCGAACCCACGACCTCCTGTAGACCAGGCGAGGTAGTTAACATCTCCTAGCCACCGTGATGATGATGATGAGAGAGAGACACGCAAACTTCCAATATACAACAGCAGGCATCAGGGTAGAGATCGAACCCACGACCTCCTGTGTACCAGGCGAAGTAGTTAACATCTCATAGCCACCGTGATGATGATGAAAGAGACACGCAAACTCCAAATATACAGCAGACGTCAGGGTAGTGATCGAACCCACGACCACCTGTGCACCAGGCGAGGTAGTTAACATCTCACCACCGCGACGCCCTCTAACAGAGGTAGAATTGCTTCTCAAATGGAACGTCTTAAGTTACTATCATTCCTACCGATAACCAACCCTCCATCTCGACGTATGACTTACAAAAACACGTGTGTCAACCTCCCACCTGTAGCCGGGCTTACCGATGTCTCTGATCGGAGGTGCACTCTTACTTACCTAGCCACGTGGGTGTCCTTACTAACGCCTCTCACGTGAAGCTTGGTGCAATCGTCCACCACCCACAGCACCAACGTCGTGATGCTTATACAAGTCTCTGCACCCATGCTCACTAACATCAGTCACCTGCACCCATGCTAACTTCACTCACCTGTAGCAAGCAACGTGTACCCCCCCCCCCCCCCCCCATTGCAGCCATGCTCACTAACATCAGTCACCTGTACCCATGCTAACTTCACTCACCTGTAGCAAGCAACGTGTACCCCCCCCCCCCCCCCATTGCAGCCATGCTCACTAACATCAGTCACCTGTACCCATGCTAACTTCACTCACCTGTAGCAAGCAACGTGTACCCCCCCCCCCCATTGCAGCCATGCTCACTAACATCAGTCACCTGTACCCATGCTAACTTCACTCACCTGTAGCAAGCAACGTGTACCCCCCCCCCCCCCATTGCAGCCATGCTCACTAACATCAGTCACCTGTACCCATGCTAACTTCACTCACCTGTAGCAAGCAACGTGTACCCCCCCCCCCCCATTGCAGCCATGCTCACTAACATCAGTCACCTGTACCCATGCTAACTTCACTCACCTGTAGCAAGCAACGTGTACCCCCCCCCCCCATTGCAGCCATGCTCACTAACATCAGTCACCTGTACCCATGCTAACTTCACTCACCTGTAGCAAGCTACGTGTACCCCCCCCCCCCCCATTGCAGCCATGCTCACTAACATCAGTCACCTGCACCCATGCTAACTTCACTCACCTGTAGCAAGCAACGTGTACCCCCCCCCCCCCCCCCCATTGCAGCCATGCTCACTAACATCGTCCCCAACCCTCGTGCCCACCTGCCGGGAGCCCGCCACGCTGGTGTAGTAGATCTTCACCACCATGGCGACCCCGGGGGAAGAGTGCGCCGGAGACGAGGTCTCGACAACAAGTGGCGAGATCTCTCTCTCGTGTCTCTCTCTCTCACTCACTCCTCGGCAGTTAAGCTGCAGTTTGACGCGGACCCCCCGCACCCACACACCAACGCACCCCGCACCACCCCCACCCATCTCGCACCACCCCCCCCAGCACCAACCCCTCCCCCCGCACCAACCCCCCCCGCACCAACCCCTCCCCCCGCATCACCCCCCCGCACCAACCCCCCCGCACCACCCCCCCCCGCACCAACCCCCCCGCACCACCCCCCGCACCAACCCCCCCGCACCAACCCCTCCCCCCGCATCACCAACCCCCCCCGCACCAACCCCCCCGCACCACCCCCCGCACCAACCCCCCCGCACCAACCCCTCCCCCCGCATCACCACCCCCCCCCGCACCAACCACCCACCCGCACCCCCTCCCGCACACCCCCCCCCCACCCTCACCAACCCCCCCACTTTCCAGTGAAGGGGCGTGGTCAGAGGGGTGGGGCGAAAAAGGGCGGGGTGGGCTTAGGGACCGCGGTAAATAGACACAGCCGGCACTTGAATTAAATGACGTGAGAGAAACGACGATACGCGTCAGTTTTGAGGCAGCGTTTTCTAATTACTATTATATATTTTTCTCGTTGATAATACGGTTATTGCTACGTCGCAGTGGTGCACAAGCACACTTAACAATACACTCCACGCATTCGTCGACAGCGCCGAGCGTGCGTCCGTCTGGAACGTTCTTACTTGTGATAGTAGGAAGCCATTGGTAGATGTGCACTTTTAAATCGTCAAGGTTTTAAAGCTAATTTCTTTAGATCGGTGTTCTTCCCGCCCCGCAACTCCGATTAGCCACGTGTGGCTATGTACGGTACGAAAGAAGTTCAACATGTAGTACATACATAGGGGCCGTCCATAAATGACGTCACACGGCGTCACAAAAAGTCAGACCCCCCCCTCAAATATGACGTCACAAAGCTCTGCCCCCCCCCCCAAAATAAAACATGCTTCAAATCGCTTTAAACTATTGTCATTGTAGTGCGTATTTAATGTGGCGCTGCACTCTGATGTTGTAGGAGAAACCATTTATTAAAAAGCAGTGGCGGCTCCTGCAAAATCTCTCAGGGGGGGCAAATGTCTGGATGATTGATAAGGATAAGGTCCACCCATGCAATGGATAAATTAACAGCTTAAGCATGTAAAGGCAACTTCACTTCTTTAATATTAATGAAAAATAAAGTGACTCTTACAATACATCTTGTTTGTTTCTATACTCACTATTAATACAATCCACTCATGTTTCTTTTATTAAAGATTCCACTAGGTGGCGACAAATAATTTTGTTGGATGAAACGTGCTTACGTATGATGACGTAAGCACGTTAGGGCGAGCCCTCCCGGAAGCCATAGAGAATGCATTGCAGCGCCCGCCGTTCGAAAAAAACATCTTTGAATGTAAGTCTATGGGACCACTCGGGGCGATTCTCAGCCGGAGGGAAATCGCCCAAAAAGAGGCGGTACTCCACTAGAACGTGACATGACACTGATTGGACTATATCCAGAGGCACAGTGACGGCTAGCGTGACTCTGTGGTTCAATGACATTGGTGGTGCGTCGCCCAATCGCCCTAATGAAGAAATCGCCCCTGGATTAGAAGCATGTTTTATTTTGGGGGGGGGGGGGGCAGAGCTTTGTGACGTCATATTTGAAGAGGGGTCTGACATTTTGTGACGCCCTATTGACGAGGGGGGGGGGGGTCAAAAATCGTCAAAAATCGCGTGACGTCATTTATGGACGGCCCCTATACTCCTATGCTTTCCGTCTTCACCAACACGCTCTAAACCAGCGTGGCGAAAGTATTGGACAATTAACGCCCACGACCCGGGCGGAGTAGGAAGTCGGTCATCATCCAGCAGTGGATTTACAATTGATACTCCTGCTGTTGTGGAGTGGCTTTTGACTTGCATCCCACTGGGATTTTTGCACACAGCGTTGGTGTACGGTGTTTTTTTCTGCAATATTTTGCGGTCTTTTCTTGGATTTTCTGTTTGCACTCAGTCACATATTCACTTCAAGATGTTTTTTGTTCATGTTTTTGTTTTTTTTGTTTGTTGCGGTTGCACCCGATTCAAGAGCCGAATGGCTCACAGGGCTATACCTAAAAAAATAACTTGAAACTTGAAATGTTCTCGCAACGTATGCACAACAATCCAGTATTCGCTCGGTGGTGACCTGTGCACGTGGCATGTGATCCTGTGCTGTGGACGACACAAGGATTGGTGGATGGCACAAGCGTTGTGGTCATACTTTCTCCGCACGCTTCGTGGAGCAATGCGCCAAAATCTGAATATTTATTTATATATACATACTATTAATACATACATACTATTAACATTCCTTCCCTTTGCTAATGCTACCCCCATCCCCTCCCTTTGATGCTGCTAATCCTGCATAATGCACGGGCATAATATGACTTTGAAACCCCCCGCCCACTTCCTACGCATTTCCCATAAATATGTTAAATTCCTCTTGATATGCAAATTATTTTGTCAAGGCGCTCTTCTTCCCCGTCCAACTCAGCTTAAATATACGCTCCAAGCTTGGTGGTGTTTCATTCTTCACCCGAGGACGGCTGCTTGCGTTGTGGCCGAAACGTCGTGAGAATTATTTTATTATGTTTAATATTTATTATTTTATTATTTTCCTTCTACGTGACTTTACCGAAAGAACCAAGAAGATGAATCCCTGTAAGTCACGAAAGCTTTAAATCGATATTTATTTATACTGGAGGAATTCGATGAGCTATGAAGCTCTCCCCCCCCCCCCCCCCCCCCACACACAGATGTCCAGGAAGGGTCGGGTCAGATTGTTATAACAGCTAATAATGACAAAAAATACAATGTCTTCACGGGAGGACGGAGAACAGCGGTCCAGGGAAGAGCTGGACAACGTGGCTTGTGTTGAGGACTTCAAATTAATTGACACATTAAAAAAAAAGTACTGTACTCGTCAGGGCCTGACGAATATACCGGACAGCATCCAAAAACAGTTTCAGTGATACATTTTTCAGAATATGTCTGTGTGTTTGTCGAGCTAATCTCTCCCATCAACACGGTGCTAATCTCCCATTAACACTGCTGTTGTGCGCATATGCGGGGACGATACTCTTATGCTGCAACGGAAGCTAATTTCATGCTAATCTCTCTCCCTAATGTCTCTCTCCCTAATCGCCCCCATTAACACAACTGACGTGCTTGCGTGCGGGGATGGGACTCCTTTCCAGCTCAGACCCCGCCTGCTTGCCCTTCGCCACGTATATAACCTCTTGTTGTAACTGCTCTCTCGCTGTGTTCTTCCTGGTTCAGCAGTTCCACTGCTGGATTATTTTTTCCGCCTGAGGACGACCTCTTGTGTTGCGATCGAAACGTCACGATTGATTATTTTTTATGTTATTTTTCTAAACTTACACATCTCATTTCTCATTGTGGCTGAGACGTTAAGATCAGCTGACAGCCACCGTGAGCGGTAACACGCGGGGTTTTCTGTTATTTTTGTTTATGTTTGTTGTCACTTTAGATTATGTTCACGATAATCCAAGATCGTGTTCGGGTCCCTATCCGTACGCTGCACAGAGATTTCGCTGCACGGAGATTTCGCTGCACGGTGATTTCACTGCACGGAGATTTCACTGCACGGAGATTTCACTGCACGGAGATTTCACTGCACAGAGATTTCGCTGCACAGAGATTACGCTGCACGGAGATTTCGCTGCACGGAGATTTCGCTGCACGGAGATTTCGCTGCACAGAGATTTCGTTGCACGGAGATTTCGCTGCACGGAGATTTCACTGCACGGAGATTTCACGGCACGGGGATTACGCTGCACAGATTTCGCTGCACAGCGATTTCGCTGCACAGAGATTTCATTGCACGGAGATTTCACTGCACAGAGATTTCGCTGCACGGAGATTTCACTGCACGGAGATTTTGCTGCACAGAGATTTCGCTGCACGGCGATTTCGCTGCACAGAGATTTCGCTGCACGGCGATTTCGCTGCACAGAGATTTCGCTGCACGGAGATTTCGCTGCACAGAGATTTCACTGCATGGAGATTTCGCTGCACGGAGATTTCACTGCACAGAGATTTCGCTGCATGGAGATTTCGCTGCACGGAGATTTCACTGCACAGAGATTTCACTGCACGGAGATTTCGCTGCACAGAGATTTCACTGCACAGAGATTTCACTGCACAGAGATTTCGCTGCACGGAGATTTCGCTGCACGGAGATTTCGCTGCACGGAGATTTCGCTGCACGGCGATTTCGCTGCACAGAGATTTCGCTGCACGGAGATTTCGCTGCACAGAGAGTTCACTGCATGGAGATTTCGCTGCACGGAGATTTCACTGCACAGAGATTTCGCTGCACAGAGATTTCGCTGCACAGAGATTTCACTGCACAGAGATTTCACTGCACGGAGATTTCGCTGCACGAGATTTCGCTGCACGGAGATTTCACCGCACGGAGATTTCGCTGCACGGAGATTTCGCTGCACAGTGATTTCACTGCACGGAGATTTCACTGCACGGAGATTTCGCTGCACGGAGATTACGCTGCACGGAGATTTCACTGCACAGAGATTTCGCTGCACGGCGATTTCGCTGCACGGAGATTTCGCTGCATGGCGATTTCGCTGCACAGAGATTTCACTGCATGGAGATTTCGCTGCACGGAGATTTCACTGCATGGAGATTTCGCTGCACGGAGATTTCGCTGCACGGAGATTTCTCTGCACAGAGATTTCACTGCATGGAGATTTCGCTGCACGGAGATTTCACTGCACGGAGATTTCACTGCACGGAGATTTCACTGCACGGAGATTTCACTGCACGGAAATTACGCTGCACTGAGATTTCACTGCACGGAGATTTCACTGCACGGAGATTTCACTGCACGGAGATTTCGCTGCACGGAGATTTCACTGCACGGAGATTTCACTGCACGGAGATTTCACTGCACGGAGATTTCGCTGCACGGAGATTTCACTGCACGGAGATTTCACTGCACGGAGATTTCGCTGCACAGAGATTTCACTG